CTCATCTCGTGGGTAGTCCCTACAGACACATAACAGTCGAGCCAGCTGTGGCAAGATACACTACTCAGTGGCCTTGGGGTCGAACAAGTAGTCGCCCGTCACTAGTTCGAATATCATGCATGCAAATGACCATATGTCAGCACTACTATCATAGCCGGCACCAACGATAACCTGAACGAATCGAAATCACCAGTGATAGTAAAAGGCCGGGGCTCACTTCAGGAGAGCGGTATTGACGTGTTTGAATATCGCTAGAAAAATGTTTATGAGTCCAACATGCATTACCAAGATCTGCTATTTTGAATCTGAGGGTCACGCAGCTACCCACTTCTGCCATAACCCTGCCCAGCTTCGCTCCGCTCACGTCCCTTATTACGCGACACTGTCGTGGTCGAATATGTCCAGACCGAGCACCTCCGCCTCCGATACAAGCTCAAATGCATGCCGCTTATGCATAGTATCACCAACAGTAGGAGGAGGAGGAAGAAGCGGTAAAGACGACGAATGAGGAGCTAATCAGCATAGACTATCACTAGAAGCACCACCGCAAGAACTCACCATGGGGTGCAATCGGGCCAATCTCCCCTTCATCCTTTCCTTTCTGGGAGTCCTGCTGCCGCCTTGTAGCACTGCTAGCGGCTGTACTCGTAGCTCCCGTGCTACCTAATCCCGACGAAAGGTGCCTGCTGATTCCCACACTCGTAACATCACCATCTATAAAGTACAACACAAAACACATAGCGACGGCTGAGCCGCTCTCGCTTGACGTATATATATCTTGGAATATAAATAATTTGAGAATTGATCAAAAATCATGCCCTTCTTATGCTACAATAAAAGGCCACTCTTGATAAAAAATTTAACGCTTTCGAAACGACACCTATCAAGAGACCAAGATCTGCTAGTCTTTCTCAGTCCGAACAAAAACAGGATTATATCATTCAATTACTACTATGGATTCCCTCCGCTGGAGTCTTCTGATGACGATGGTGCTCCATATCACTAATATTGGCGTTGGGCAAGTGATGGTGAGGCATGCGATGCAAACACTCATTCTGCATCTCAGGGTAGGTCGTCAAAAGGGTAGGGTCCGACCTGATCAAAATCCATCATTCTGACTTCGAAACGACCCCTGTGTAGGAAAATATGCACATAGTCAACTATATGTTGGTGGAATTTAGGAAAATTCGTATTGGTCTCTGTACATTTCTACCCGAATTCGTACGTAATCCCTCATAATTAGCGAGGAAACTCCTAAGCTCAGCTGAGAAAGGCGAACGTAAATCCCAACAGTGCTTACATGTTTCGTTTGATCGATGACCTGACGTAAGGCGGGAACCGCGCACATCTACTTGCCGCGGACCCCTCAGCACTACAGCTGTCGGAGCCTGGCACCGATGACGACACTGTAGGGGCGGCTGTGGCTGGTACCTTAGGAAGGCCATCAGAGCTGCGAACACGCTCATCTGGGTTAATACATCACATGAACTACCTCCTGTTGCTTAGCAGCTTCAGCTGCCGCCCGACGCTTCTCCCTCTGCTTCCTCCGCTTTAGCCTGTTCTTCTGCGTCTTCGTCAATGGGCGATTCAGCTTACCTGCGTTATTCACATGCGAATGATCATCGACAAACCAATACGGTCACAACTGCACTGAATCGAATGACCACCATCGAAAACTGTCACTAAAAACCGCAACTATTACGAAAAGATTAAAGAAAGCCCCAACTCCACCGACTACCACTACTACTACCGTCAACACCATTGGGACGCTCCTCAACATCGCTGGGAGAACAATCGGCAACCGCAATGTACCGATCATGAGGGGTGCTCTCCTGTGGACTTCCATTTCCGCTGTCTGACCATTGAACTATCCATATGCTCATCACTTATGATTCGACACTACCCTGATGGTTCTCATCCTCATCTCGTGATAGGAACTGCCCAGCTATCAACGGTACGCCGTGCTTGTCGACAGGGACACTCCTCGGACAACACACCAACACCTACAGTGACGATAACATCACTGA